AAACTTCAAGGCTTATGGGTTATTGATTGATATACTACTAGAAAATCAAGAAAAATATAAATAAATAATATATTTTTTTTTAAATTAGTTTTTTAATTTGTAGTTTATTATAAAGGAGCAAAATTAACAAACTTTATAATTTATTTGTAAGTAAATTTCAGTTAAGACTTGCTTAAATATTTTTCTCAAATTGATCTATAAAGTATTGTTATTTATAATATTAAATGTTATTATGTAAACCTTGTAAGTAGCAAAATATATATAGCTAAGATATTGACATATTCAAGTATTCTTATTTTGAGTATAAAAACTAATAAATAATGACATTTGGAATTCATTTTCTTAAGAAATCCAATCTATACTTATGTTAAGATTGTGTTTACTGCCTATAAATTATTGAAAATATCAGTTACTAACAACCATAGTCATTTAATGTATTTCAAGCTTCTGTATTTAATTTTTTTGTTTACTTACTGCTATGCACAACCTCAAATTAGATGGATTGAAGGGCTTGCCATTTTGGTAATTGACATATATTAGGACATATAGGTAAATTTAAAAATATAATTAATAATTTAGGTATTAATCAATTTTTTAGAGGTGATTTTGGATTTTACCTTCAAGATAATATTGTTGTCTATCAAAGCATTATAATAAAAAATTATGTAAATTTATTAATTTTCTCTTCCCCATAGTTTTATGTTTTCTGCTCATTATTTAAAGACTATTTATAGAAATTTTACAACTTGTTAAAAATTAAATATCATACAAGTCTATATGGTGGAAGTGTAATTGGAATAGTGTTTAAATATTTTCAATAGCTTTAATGGTTTTGTAAAGAAATATTTTAAAATATTATCCTTGCTTAAAATATCCAATATCTTTCAAATATATAAATTATATTGTTATTGATATAGATCAGATTTGATTTAATAGCCCATTAAATTTTCTTGAATTATATATAAAAAATGGTAATATAAGTGCTTAGAATATAGAAATAAGTATATTAATTGCTTACAAGAATGGATAAACCAGATTCAATCCCAAATAGATGGTCCATATGTTATAGTATTATAATTAGTGTATTACCTAGCTAGGGTAATATATATATATATACATATATGTATTTATGAACCTTACATCATCCTCCCTTCTGGAAGATGAAAATGTGATGATAATAAGTCAAGTGGAACATTTGGAGCTTATGTTAGGCAATTATAAATTACTATAAGAATCTTAAGTTCCTACCAAACCACCAACAAAGTTGTTAATAACCATGACTAAAATAAAACCCAAAACTATGGTATAAACATCAGTCGACTACAGAATTTTGGTGAACTACTTGCAATTTCATATGCAACTCTCAAATACTTAACCCAACCATACAATCATAACTTTGAATCAAATTAAAGGACTTTGAGAGTCTATAGAGCAATATTGCATCAAACAATATTGTAAATTTTTGAATTTAGACTTTTAGAAAATCATTCAACTTAGTATTATTCAAACCTTAACACTTAACCCCCAATATCCCAAAACCCTAAACCAAACCTTTATGAATTGTTTCTCGAATCGTTTTCTTTAGTTACTTACAATCTACTATACTTTTTTGCAAGTTCACACTCTTGTGAATGAAAGTTAAGAGTTGTAATTCTTTTGATACCTTACCCCTTATATCGAGCTTATCGATACCAACCACCACCACTATATATCAATGGGTTGAGCCTAGCCAAACTAAACTAAACCACTAGATATCAATCTCAACATGTGATGTGATTCCCTTAGCCAACTAACAAAGTCGGACTTAGGACACACTCTAATACTAAATATAAACTTTTAAATTTAAGCTTACTAGGAAGTCATCTAGTGTATTAGTATTCAAACTTAAGGACGCTTAACCCCAAGTACTTTAAAACTTTTAACCGATTGAACAAAAGGCTGCACTTTTGTTCATGGGCCCTTTCCTTTTATATTTGAATTCCTATGAATTATCTTTCAAATCATTCTCTTTAGTTACTTACAAATCTCTAAGTTTGCCTATCAATGATCCTCCAAAACCATTATTAACTTAGACTTAGGACTATAAGTAGAATTATTGTCCTCATTTAACACTACACATAGAAGGTTAGACTCACTTTGTTCGTCCTCTATATCCTTTCTATCCCCTTCTTAAAGGAAAAAAATTCTGAAACACTGACTCTATTTAGACTTACTGTGTCTGTCCTCATTTTACCATTTATATTC